CCGGGCATTGTGGCAAGCGTCTGTAATCCCAGCTACTTGGGAGGCTGAGGCAAGAGAATCACTTAAGCCCAGGAGTTTGAGGTTGCTGTGAGCTGACACCACAGTACTCTACCAAGGGCCACATAGTGAGACTCTGCCTCAAAAAAAAAAAAAAGGGTTGGTACCTGTAGCTCAGCGGTGAGGGCACCAGCCACATACACTGGAGCTGGTGGGTTCGGATCCAGCCCGGGCCGGCCAAACAACAATGACAACTACAACCAAAAAATAGCTGGGCGCTGTGGTGGGCACCTGTAGTCCTAGCTACTTGGGAGGTTGAGGCAAGAGAATCCCTTAAGCCTGAGAGTTTGAGGTTGTTGTGAGCTGTGACAACACAGCACTCTACCCAGGGCAACATCGAGACTCTGTCTCAAGAAGAAAAAAAAAAAAAAAGCAGGCGGAGCACCACCTGGAGATGGGAGGCATGAGAGGCACTGCAGGTGTAGGTAAGGACGGAGAAGAGACTTGGGACTTGGCGAGCTGGCAGTGATCTTGCAGAGAACAGGTTAGCAGAGCAGTGGAGTGGATGCTTATTGTAAGGAAGGCCTCTGGAGGAGGGGCTTGGGCAGGGAGAAACCTGGTGGAGAGTGGCGACTCTGGCCCCAAGCAGGACCCAGCCTTGGGCCCTCAGTCCAGCACGGACTCACCTGCCCGCCCCCAGGACTCTCAGGAAGAGGCAGAGAGATTGTTTCAGCCAGAGAGAGGCTGGATGAGGGGATGAAACTGAAAAGTGTAGGCAGTGGTGACCAGAGAGGAGACCACAAGGGAGCAGAGAAGTTTAGGTCAGCTTTATTGAAAAGGACAGAACTCACCTGGGCAGGGCAAGGATGGTGTCTGCACTCAGGGGCAGAGGGAGACCCCTTTTATGTGAGACTGTAGGGGTGGGCAAATTCTATAGCTGGCCTAGAAAGTTAGTTTCCCGGGCTGTGGGGCTAACCAGATCCTTTGTCTCCTTTGTCTCAGGAGAGAGGAAGGGGAGGGTTCCTGCAGGGCTGCCCTAGGCCTCCCAAGAGAAACAGCTTTTCTTTTTAAACTGGGCTACCACTCTCTTTCTGTGGCATAGCAGCTCATTTATAATCAGGATGGAGTGGGGGGAAAAGACAAAGACGATCTAAACCACACACCTGGGGAATCTGTTCCCCGCAGTCTGGCTCCCAAACTCCCACAGGGCTGAAGGAACACATAATGTGCCTTCTCAACAGAAGGGGCCCACTTTTCCACAGGGCCGTTTTCTCCCTGCGGGTCTACGGTTAACTCAAAGAGGTTAGGAAGGGCAGATCTAGGGAAGAGCTGCTGAGGAAGCAGTGGTGAATGTGTACTCAGCCTGCGGATCATTCAAACAAAGCATTTGGAGGGTGTAGTATGTATCAAAGAGAAAGTGCCTCCTTCAGGAGAAAAAGATATGGTGTGGTGGGAAAGAAACCTCCTCCAGAGGCGGTCCTGTTTGACCTTTGCCCTCCCCACGCTCCTTTGGGGGTGTCAGCACTGGGGGCACTGCTGCTCTGCTCCCTCCCACATCTCCACACCTTGCTAAAACCTGGGATCATCCCAAAATTGGTGACAAGAAAGCAGCTATCAGTTAGTGAAGGAAATCAGACTTCTGAGTGTTTTCTGTTTTGACAGGAGAAAAAGACAGAATGTTGCCTCTGGGCAGGCTGAAGCCTGTGGCTCCATCCACCACCCCCTGCCCGCAGAGGGGACCTCAGGGGGCAGTTCTTGTTGGTGTCCACACAAGCAGCTGATCTGCCATGTGTGATTTACGAAGGGGATTTGTTATTTTTCAGCATGGCTCACGGTTCTCACAGGCGTCATTAATCTTGATCTCATGCTGTTCTGGGAGTTCTCAGTTCTCAATAAAGTGTATTAAATAAGCCCAATGATCTCCCCTTTGCATTCTGCTTTATTTTAATCACTTTCCAACAAGGCACAACTGGAGCAGCATTTTCGACCACCTGTTGGTGTGGTTTACCCTTGCCATTTTTCCCACCATGAGAACTGTACTTTTTGGATGCCGGATTAAAAAGAAATTTTGTCATGAGGATACCTTTCTCTTTGAAACACTTCTTGTTTTCTTCACCAGGTAAATCAGTATAATTCTGTGGAAAACATCCACCCCACAGTAGAATTAGAGGACTTTTAAATGTGAAGGAAAATGTATACTGTGACAACGTGTAAGGGAGGAGGGAGAAGAGCTCAAACGCGGGAAAGATTGCTTCCTCCTTGGACAAGATCGAAGAAAGGACTGCCGGCATCCCTCCCTCTACAACATGGTACCCACGTACAGGAAGGGGGAACGCCACCTCAGCCCTGTTTAATCGGAACTCTGGGAGAAGCGTGAATTCAACCTCCAGCTATGGCAGGAAACAAAGGAAATTAAATCCATCCTATCACCCTGTGAGCAAGCTGCAGGGAAAATCAGTTTATCCCACAGAATTTATGAGAAACAAATAACAATGGCCCTTTGTCTTCTGGGGATGGGAAGGGGATGCCTAAATCTAACCTGAGTATTAACATTTATAGCCCTTTTTTTTTTTCTTTGAGACAGAGTTTTACTTTGTTGCCTTCGGTACACTGTCCCGGCATTATAGCTCAGGCACTATAGCTCACACTATAGCTCACCGCAACCTCTAACTCTTGGGCTTAAGTGATTCTCTTGCCTCAGCCTCTCAAGTAGCTGGGACTACAGGTGCCCACTACAATGCTTGGCTACTTTTTCTTTTAAAGATGGGGTCTCTCTCTGGTTCAGGCTGGCCTTGAACCTGTGAGCTCAGCAATCCACTTGCTTCAGGCTCCTGGAGTGCTAGGATTACAGGTGTGAGCCAACAGGCCTGGCCTAATATTTATAGCCTTTCAAACAGTGATTTTCTAATTTTTTTTAAGACATAGAGTTTTAGTTTGTTGCCCTCGGTAGAGTGCCATGACATCACAGCTCACAGCAACCTCTAGCTCTTGGGCTTAGGTGATTCTCCTCCCTGAGCCTCCTGTGTAGCTGGGATTATGTCCAGTATTTTTTTCTTGCAGTTTGGCCGGGGCTGGGTTTGAACCTGCCACCCTCAGTATATGGGGCTGGCGCCCTACTCAAGGAACTACCCCTCAAGCAGTGATTTTCATTTTTATTTATTTTAGAGACAGAGTCTCACTTTATCACCCTTGGTAGAGTGCTGTGGTGTCACAGCTCACAGCAACCTCTAACTCCTGGGCTTAGGTACTTCACTTGCCTCAGCCTCCCAAGTAGCTGGGACAACAGGCACCTGCCACAACGCCCAGCTATTTTTTGTTGCAGTTTGGTCAGGGCCAGGTTCTAACCTGCTACCCTTGGTATATGGGGCCAGTGCCCTACCTACTGAACCACAGGCGCCACCTCACTCAAGCAGTGATTTTCTTTTCTTTTCTTTCTTTTTTTTTTTTTTTTTCAGTTTTTGGCCAGGGCCAGGTTTGAACCCACTACCTCCCGTATATGGGGCTGGCGCCCTACTCCTTTGAGCCAGAGGAGCCTCCCATTAAGCAGTGATTTTCAATCAGTGTGGTGTGCCATGAAAATTTTTAAAGATTAATTTTTGAAAGAAGTTCAAAGCATAGAAAGTATATTCTTTTTTTACTTTTTCTTTTGATCAACATTAAGTGTGTCACAAAGTTTAACTATAGGTTCAAGTGTCCTGTGAAATCAAAAATGTTGAAAATACTGCTTTAAAGCTATAAGTAACCCCTCAGAATCTGGAATGAGAACTCGGGGTGCATGCACAGATGTACACACACGCACATACAGAGAAAAATGGGAGGAATGACAGTGAAATATTAACAGCAATTATCTCTGAACAGCTGACTTCTTCGGCTCATCTTTAGTTTGCTATTGAATTTTTATCGATGAACATGTAATACTTTTTAATTGGAAAAAAAGGTATTCTGTTTAAAAAAATCTGTTGAAAGTAATTTCTTCTCTACTGTGGATTTTCCTCAGATTTTTTAAATTCTGTCATACTTAATTGAGAATCTAGATTAGGGCTTGAATCTAAGCTATCTCAGGGATTGAACTTCACATACAGATTTCCTGGACATCTCTGGAACTTTGGTTACTTTATGTGATGGTAAATTGTTGCTCTGTTTAACCATAAGAACAACCTACCTGACATACTGAAGAGGGCCTCACACTTAGCAAGAGGGTATAAAGGAGATAACCTAAGGCCTCTTCCCAATAAGGTAAATTGTTCTATAACAGTAACCAAGATATTACTCTGTAGTAAGACAATAAGCTATGACCACACTGCTGCTATGTGTTAGTTCTCTTTGGGACAGCAGAGACACTGCAGTGTAATGAAAGCAGCTGTTTCCAGATGTCCTTCTTTTCTTTTTTTTTAAAAAAAAAAACACTTTAATGTTTTATGGTTGGTGAGATTAAAGGGCGTCATTCAAATTTCTTGTTTCCTTCTTCCCATTTTTCAAATTGAGCACTTCCAAAGAATCTTTGCCTTTCGGGTTTTTGTTTGTTTTTTTTTTTTTTTAGTTTTTAGTTTTTGGCGGGGGCTGGGTTTGAACCCGCCACCTCTGGCACATGGGGCCAGCGCCTTACTCCTTTGAGCCACAGGCACTGCTCCTCCAGATGTCCTTCTGATGTGAAAGTACATGGGTATGGGTTAGCCCATGACAGAATGATGTCCCAAACTCAAGAACAGTCAGAGGTGATTCAGCCAATGCACTTTATCTTTCTAATTATTTTCATAAAACAAGTTCTCTGAGTTGTATGTGGAAAATACCTTCTGATTTCTTATTTTTTTTTTAAAAGAGAGCAGTTTCTATGTTCCCTTTCTATAATTTGCCAAGTAATTAGTCTTAAATTACAAAAGGGAATATTAAAGATGAAAGATATGTTTTTTAAAAAGTAGCAAATCTTGTTCACTTGCCTTCATAAGAAAATTACACTGACTGGCAAGAAATACACAAAGAAACAGAGGGAACGGATTACTCACCCAAACACCCAGCACTGGGTTCCTACGCGTTTGCACTGCGTGTCCGTGAGGTAAGCGTAGTACTGTCTGAAATAGCAAAGTTGGAATTCACTGAGAGCTTCAGGGAGGTCAGTAAGTCAATACAGAGTCAAATCACTTTGACAGTATGAATATAAAAATCGTCTGCCTCATTCCATTTTTTCAGCTGCCTGGACAAACTCTATTCATGGAATAGAAAACCAGCCAGCGCCTGCCGAAACTTCCCTGGGAGAGTCAGAATTTGGGTTATGTTGGAGGGTAGGGAGCACAGCTTAAAGAGTCACATCATGGGCAAAGGCAGTCTTGACTCAGGGACAAGACTCTCAGGGCCCTGGCCCTACACAACCCCATACAGGTGCTTCAGTCCCCATGGAGTACTTTGGAGGTAATTCCAGAGTCAAATGCACAGTCCCCTCTGGCTCTCTCCAGAGCAAAGGTTGCTTATTGTAACCAGGTGAGAAACATACACATTTTTGGCTTTCAGAAACTGGAGAGACATCCTCATTGACACTGAATGCCAATGACATTGAATGGTATGGTATAAGATCAGAAGAAAAAGGCAATGACACAGAGATGAAAAGCTTAGAACAGCACCATCCAACAGAAATATAATCCAAGCCATAAATGCAATCTTAAGTTTTCTAGTGATTGTGTTTAAGAAGTACAAAGGAACAGAGAACGTTCATTTTAATAATATATGTTACTTAAACCAATATTTGAGCCAATATATTGAAACATTACAGTGAGGCATTTTAATCTCTGTTTTGGCACCAACTCTTCAAAATCTGGTATGCAGTTCACAGGTGCAGCACAATTCACTGTGGACTGGATACATTTCTAGTGCTCAAAAGCCACACCAAAGTGGTGAGTGGCTGCCATATGGGACAGCATAACCGAGAGTATCCTAAGCACCCCTGAAATTCAATCTGCTGCTTCAGAGGTAGTATCTAACCCCGGAGCTCAGCATCTTTTGGGGGTCACTTTGAGGATTTCATGAAAGCTATCATAAAGGCACAAACTTTTGCATTAAACTTCAGGGGGTTCAGAGATATCTAAAGTTCATCTGTAAACTATTGCCTTCTCACCCCAAAGATCAGAGTGAAAAATTCTAATTATAGAGAACGTTGGTTTTCCTCTAACTTCATGTATTCATTATCTAATTTGCCTTTACCAGTTCAGCTGTTTTACTCCCATATATTATCAGATTGAAAGAATGTTCACTCAAGTATCGTCTCAAAGAAGATCTGTGTGAAAGTCTGATCAAAAAGGAAAAAAATGGACTTATGGTAGGTACAATTTGTCCCAAAGCCTTTTAGGAGAGAGAGTTTACAGAGATGGGGATGGGGCACGCTTCCACGCTTCCAAATAACTTGTCAAAGAACCTCCTTACAAAGAAGCCTCCAGCCCTGTAAAAGCACAGGAAATGGCTGATTAAAAAAATAAAAATAAAAATAACTGTGTATAAAGCCATTAGGTTTGGCAAAATTTTGAGGAATGCTTTAAAGTTTCAAACATTGAATTTTTAGTCTCCCGTTTTTGTTTTGGAATGTTTAACAATAGTGAAACTTCATAATAAGTCAGCTGTGATTTGCTATTTTGTGCTCTAAGAAGAAACCTCTTCCTGCTCTTCCTGACTTGTTGATTACTCTTAATTTTATGAAGGAGCTGCTGCTCATCTTTCCTGAAAATAACTGTAAAGACTCAAATTAAATTATATTTTAAATGGGGACTCCAAACCATTAAGGGAAAACAGCATGTACAAGATACTGACTTCAACAGACCACTGGTCTATGAAGTTGCAAAGGGCTGCTGGCTAGCCAACCGTTCCTTTCCCGTTGGAGTCATAATAAAAAGAGAAGATGGAATTTTTTGTATTAACTCCATAGCACTCAGACATGTCTTATTTGGTTTATTCAGTCCAGGCTTTGAGGATTTCTTTCTTTCTTTCTTTTTTTTTTTTTGTAATAATGAAGGATTGTAAGAGGTGCTGGCTAAGAGGGGAGGCTCTCTTGGACCAACGTGAGCATCTATCTCCTTGGCAAGTGAGGCTCTCTACTTGTTGGTTTGCAAGCACATTAAAAACGATGAACTAAGCAAGGCTGTAGCTTCTGAAAAACTAACTCTTTTAACTGCTTAGACCATACTTGTATCTTTGGCAGACCTTTGCTATTGCTACCAATCAGTGCCAGTCCTCCATATTACCTGTAAAACCCAAATGCATTTCTAAATTGAAAAAATGGAATGAATCAACATGTTTGCTTTGAACTTCACTGGGCTTGGATCTCCATAAGGGACAGTTCCTGAATAAGCCTCACACCACGAGAGACCTATACGTGAATCCAGGTGGACAATGGCATGAACTGCCAAGCTGATCTCAGTTGTTGTAGATGACTATAACAAGGACATTTTTAAAAGGAAATTGAGTCTAAAAAGACTAGTAAAGTCTCATTCTAAAAATTTATGACTTTAGTTCTACCATAAAAACATTTGCATTTTCTAATAATCTCATTTTTAATAAACTTGGTATTATTGCTACTAATGTTTTCTAATATGTTATAGGAGGGAAAGAAAGACCAGCAGTGAACAATTATAAAGGGATTAGAAAATAATTAACAGTACTATTGGTATGGTGTTGGTTATCTGCCTTCTTCTTTTAAAGTCTCAGTGATGTTACTGAAACCTGAGATCAAAACATTTCATCATGTTCTAGATGTACAATTCTTTAGAATGGTATTTTCATAGAAAATCTAACTTCCCTTATGATAACAGGACAAAACAAAGCAAGTTAATATCCTCAAATGGCAGTCTGGCTTCTACAGAATTACCTCACTGTGGGAGCTGTGATGACACCAATGAAGAGAATTCTACACCAACTTAATGGATGGCTGGCTTGGAACACAAAGATATGCTTCAAGAAGAAGGTATTCAACTCGGTCAGCTGAAAAAAGGAGAAACTAGTCAATCTGGTACTTCATGCTAAGTCAATCACATATTCCTTAAATAGACATTCTACAACTAAAAACAAATGCAATGTTCAAAGCATTTTCAGAAAATGGTCAGGATCTTCCAAGGGTTGATGTTCAATCTTGTTAACAGCCAGTACAACTGGGGGCCCAGACAGAGATGCATGGGTGGTGGGAGGGGCACACGGGGGCTCAAGGCATCAGCTGTTTGTCATGTTTTCTGGTTTGCATGACTGTCACTTGGCTCATGTGTGTGATCCTCTGGGAGAGAAAGAAATGCTCAGAGCCCACAGGTATTGTGAAAACAGACACATGCCGTGGAATACCTATGTTGCCTCATGAACATCAGGCTGGATCTAAGAGAAAGATCCAAAAGAGGCTTGAGATACGTGGCTGAGAGAGGACCACCTACTGGTATAGCACGTGCCTAGGACTGGGACGGAGCAGACTCCTCACTGGAGGCAGCTCTTAAAAGTGGGTGTGAAGGGTTGGCTCGAGTGTCACTGGGGTATGGGGTACTCCTCCCAGAGGCTAGTGCCCAGAAGTCCATCACGATGAGTCTCAGGCAACACAAAAGACACCAGAACGGAGGGGTGGCTCCCAGCAAGGGGTAGAGACTGCAGAAAAATCACTGTGCTTGGAGAGCACATTACACAAACAGGCAGGTTCACTTCAACTATGTGAAACGCCTGTCATTTTCCCACCCCCCGACTTCTAGGATATGAAGTAAAAAACAGTCCACAAATGGGAGGCTAAGGCAGGTGGATTGCCTGAGCTCATGAGTTTGAGACCAGACTGAGCAAGAGCAAGACCTGTGGTCCCAGCTACTTGGGAGGCTGAAGCAAAGAAGATAGCGTGAACCCAAGAGTTTGAGGTTGCTGTGAGCTGTGATGCCACAGCACTCTACACAGGGTGATATAGTGAGACTCTGTCTCAAAAAACAAAACAAAACAAAACAGTCCACAAATTAACACCACATATAGAGAGCTGATCCCAGCACAATGCTCACACCCCTGGGAGTGGTGTATACCAGCAAATGCAGGCTGGTGGTTCCATTCTAGGAGCACTGTCCTATCTCCTTAAAAAATCCAATCATTCCTGCTTTTAAGAGAGAGAAAAAACAACTTTAGGCTTTCTCTGACAGCCTTGATAAAGCAAAGCTTAATCCCAATGCATTCACGGTTCCTGTTTTTATAAACACTGACTCCTCCAAGGCACGGTGATTATTTACAACTTCTTCAAACAAAGATGATTATCTAACTGTTCACAGATACTTCTATATACATAAACACTGTTCCTTTTTTTTAATTTTTTTTGAGACAGAGTCTTACTCTGCTGCCTTTGGTAGAGTGTAATTGTGTCATCATAGCTCACTGCAACCTCAAGCTCCTGGGCTCAAGCAATCTCCCTGCCTCAGCCGCCCAAGTAGCTGGGACTATAGCCGTGTGCCACCATGCACAACTAATTTTTTCTGTTTTTTATACACACAGGGTCTAGCTGTATTGCTCAGGCTGCTCTCAAACTCCTGGGCTCAAACTACCTTCTTTCTTCAGCCTCACGAAGTGCCAGGATTATAGACGTGAGGCACCGCGCCCAACCAAACTTCTTGGTGTGATTATTTTCCATGTGTGAGCAAGGAAAATTGGTTCTTTTACAAGTGACATCTGATGATTTTTATTCCTTATGATGGAACTAATTTGTATTTTTTTTTTGAGACAGAGCCTCAAGCTGTCCCCCTGGGTAGAGTGCCGTGGCATTACAGCTCACAGCAACCTCC